TAAGTCGAATTAAATTATGGTTTTCTTTCCCACCTTTGTTTGTAATTCAAAGAAAACATATTTATAGGCTTTGAAAAAAAATTGTGATCACTAAAAAAACTTTCTTCATACATCTATATATGTGTGGCATCTATATACACGTGCTATGCGTCGTGTAATATTCATTGAAAAGCTTTGACAGAATTTCCGCACATGGAAAGAGAGAGAGAGAGAGAGAGAGAGAGAGAGAGAGAGAGAGAGAGAGAGAGAGAGAGAGAGAGAGAGAGAGAGAGAGAGAGAGAGAGAGAGTGTGTGTGTGTACAATGATGATGTAAAACTAACGATTAAATTCAAATATATAATACACGCAGATAACATGACTTTAGAGTTATATACACACACTCTCAATTCGATTAAAACCCGATCAAGAAACAACGTCTCAATTCTCATAGTTTTCGCATTTCGAATTGAAACTGAGAAAACTTTGTAATGAAATCGTTTGAAATCAAGATAAATTCCAGTCCATCTATGTGTTTAACGTGCGTGTGAAATGTGAGGTAATTTATATTCTTGGAATTGTAATTAAAAATTCTTCACAATCACGAAATTATTTATGCTATATAGGTACATGTGTGTTTTGAAAAGTAAATTCGTGATCGTATTTTTGTTAATGATTTTAAGGCTTCATTGAAATATAAACGAATTGAAACTTCATTGAAATTTGACGACAGTTGTTTGAAATTAAAATTCAAAATTTCGAATAAAATGGGATTGGAAAAAATCCAAAAAGAATCATTTATATTTTTAGAAACTATCTTTCCTAATATGGAAGCTTGCAAAAAGTGTGGAAAATTAAAGCATTACTGTGGCAAAAATAAAGGAAATGTTTTCAATAATTAAGAAATTATTTTGGTATAAAATAGTGTCCAATTAACACGGAGAAAAATTGATTAAGTGATGTAACCTAGATTATTCTTATGATATTTTCACATTGTATAGTTGACAGGGATTATAAAATTGAATATCTATTATATTACCACTTTCAAATTATTGATCATATTAATTATTTTGATTTATAAAACTTGCATCAACATGATTGGTCTTCAGGTTATTTTAAATAAATAAAATTTTTACAAATCAGAATATTAACCCATAAATGTAATAAATTATTAGTCTTACTAGACACAAAATTTATGCTTTGTAAGTAATAAAAACACTTTTAAGGAAAGGTTTAAATAAATAATATTCTCATTGCAATCATTAAAACAAAATATTTTAATTATAGATAAATAAAAAATTGTTATAATCAATAATTAGCTAATGATAAATATATGCATAATGCTTTAATAATTTTTTTTAGATTTATAAAAATTAAGACAATTATTAGGCTAAAATTAAGGCAATATTTTGGTAAATTAATGTCAAATTACAGCATTACTATACGACAAAATTAAAACAACATTCTGCCAAATGAAAGCAATATTTTGGCAAAATAATGTCAAAATTAAAGCATTATTGTGACAAAATTTAGAAAATATTGTGACAAATTCAGGCAATATTTTGGCAAATTTATGTCAAATTAAAGCATTACTTTATACATATATTAAGGCAATATTTTGGTAATATAATGTTGTGCCAAAATGAAGGCAATGTTTTAGAAAATAATTACTAATTAAGGCAATATTTTGGCTAAATAATGTCAAATTAAAGAATCACTGTGGCAAAATAAAGAAAATTTTGTGAAATATTAATGCAATAATGACAAAATGATGTCAAATTAATTCAATACTATGGTAAAATTACGAAATTATTGTAGGAAATTAAGGCAAAATTTTAGAAAAATAATGCTCAATTAAAGATATGCTGTGTCCAAATTAAAACAATTTAAAAGAATAATAGCTAATTCAGTCAATGTTGTGACGAATTAAGCAACTTTTTGCGAAATAAAGGAAATATTTAGAAAAATTATGGCAATATTTTGACAAAATAATGGCAAATTAAAGCATAATTATGTCTAGATGAAGAAAATATTGTGAAAAATTAAGGCAATACTTTGGCAAAATAAAGCATTACAGTGTCAAAATTAAGAAAACAGTATGACAAATTAAGGTAATATTTTGGCAAAATAATGGCAAATTAAAGCGTTAATGCATCGAAATAAAGGAAATATTGTGCCAAACTAAGGCAATACTTTGTCAAAATAATGGCAAATAAAAGCAGTTCTGTGGCAAAATTAAGAAAATATTGTGATAAATTAAGTCAATATTTTGCCAAATTAAGGCATCACTGTGTCAAAATAAAGAAAATATTGTGACAATTTAAGGCAATATTGTGGCAAAATAATGGCATATTACAACGAAATAAAGGAAATATTGTGACAAATTAAGGCAATATTTTAGCAAAATAATGGCAAATTAAAGCATTACTGTGGCAAAATTAATAAAACATTGTAACAAATTACGGTAATATTCTGGCAATAAAATGGCATATTAAATCCTCACTGTGGCAAAATTAAGAAAATATTGTGACAATTTAAGGCAATATTTTGGCAAAATAATGGCATAAATTAAAGCATTATTATGTCCGGACGAAGAAAATATTATGATAAATTATGGCAATATTTTGGCAAAATAATGGTAAATTAAAGCCAAAGTTTTAAGTTAAGCGTCACTGTGTTGAAATAAAGGAAATATTGTGCCAAATTAAGGCAATATTTTGGCAAAATAATGGTAAATTAAAGCATTACTGTGGCAAAATTAATAAAACATTGTGACAAATTACGGCAATATTTTGGCAATATAATGGCAACTTAAAGCATTACTGTGGAAAAATTTAGAAAACATTGTGTTATATGTAGGCAGTATTTTGGAAAAAGAATAGCAAATTAAAGCATTACTGCGGGGCAAAATTAATAAAACATTGTGGCAAATTAGGGCAATATAATCGCATATTAAATCGTCACTGTATCAAAATAAAGGAAATATTGTGACAAATTAAGGCAATATTTTGGCTAAATAATGGCAAATTAAAGCAGCACTTTTACCAAATAAAGGAAATATTGTGAAAAATTTAGGCTATAATTGGGAAAAACAATGTCAAATGAAATTAGTGTTGTGTCAAAATTAGGCAATATGTTTGCTGAATTGAGAAAAAGTTAGGGGAACAGTGGGAAATATTGTGTCAAAATAGGGCAAATTATTGGCAAAATAAGGCAAAATTACGGCAATTCAGGCAATATTGTAGTAAATTAAGGCAATATTTTGGAATTTAAGGAAAACACATAGCAAATTGAGCATGGCATTAATAAAAGCTAATCTTACCGCAAACTTGTTACAAGCTTTCTTTACTATCTCAGAACTTTAGTTATAAAAATTAAAACCAAATGACGATTTAATATACCCAAAATCGTTTTCAAATTGACAAGCAATAGAAAATTGACTCCTTTTTTAATAAAATCATTTGAAATCATCATTAGTATAATCTGTGGCCCCGAAGAAAACTTTTAAAATGCGAGACATTCCAAATGCAAAATAAAAAGATCTTTTTTTTCAAGAGTGTCTACTCCATCTAATTTGACTTTCTCTTACTGTTGCAATTTTCCTTTTTGATTTTTAAATGCATATGAATAAACATTAGATGATGTCAAATAGAAGACGACCTAGAAATTTTATTATACTTATGCGGTGTGATGATGGTTCATCGTGGTGCAAAAGGTTACTTCCAAGGTTTATTTCATAGGTTATGGACAGATGTTAGATTAATTATGAAATACTTAATAAAATGATGATTTAGACGATCATTTGAAATGTTTTCTGATTTCATTATTGTTTTTCTGAATTTAAATTATTTTTTGCTCTAAAATTGACAAAATTTTCCTTCAATTTGGCTGGTCACTACAATAAATTTGACTTTTACCATAATATTTATTCAAAAATGACACTATATCGCTTTCATTTGAGCAATTTTGCTTTAATATTACCAAAAAATTACCCGAATTTTTATTTAAGTAATTTGCCACTATTTTGGTATAAAATTGTCTGAATTTTAATTAAACACTTGCAACAATTTTGCTACAATATCTCATGTCTTTAAAACTTTATTGTTTCAATAACAATTTGCTACAATATTGCAATTGGTACCATTTTGCCTTTATTTCGGTAAATTTGGCTCAATTGTTACTATATTGTCTCAATTTTTTCTTTAAATTGACAAATATTGCTTCAAATTGCCACTATATTGTCTCAATTTTGGCTTTAAATTGACAAATATTGACTCAATTTTCTACAACATTATCCAAAATTTTGTGAACCATTTTTCCACGATATTGCCTCAATTTTGCTACAAATTTGCCAGAATTGCCGTAATTTTGCCCTAGTTTTGCCACAAATTGTCCTATTTTGCCCAAATGTTGACGCAATTTGCCATTAATTGACGAATTTTGCCACTATAAATTGCCTCAATTTTCTACAACATTACCAAAAATTTTTGTGATCCATTTTTCCACGATATTGCCTTAATTTTGCTACAAATTTGCCAGAATTGCCGTACTTTTGCCCTAGTTTGTCACAATATTACCATAACAATTGTCCCATTATGAAAAACTCAAATCCAATACCATTAAAAATTGAAAACCAATTCTTTTTATTGCACTAATTTGACATAATTAAACAACAATAATTTATTCTGATTAAGAGATTAGAGAGCATTTTTTTTTGTTCAAATTTAAATAATAAAATTTTAAAAAAAAGTAACCAGGATTAAGAAATGACATTTTCCTATTTCTCTCTTTGTTTCCTAACGTGTTAAGGTCAACGGGTTTATTGTCGTTTGACGTCTGTTAAAGTCATGAAAGTATATATTAATAATCCGGATCTGGTGTGTATTACGCATTGATAAGCAAAAAAAAAAAAAAGAAAGAAAAAGAAAATAAATAAAAATTAATATTCCTTTTTACGAGACCCTATAACAACACATATACACAAGATTAATCAGAATCTAATTTTAGAATTTGTTGAATTCAGGTGGTTGTTCCTCGAGGACCGAGACAAGCGAAAGGTTTACTATTGAGCTGTATTGAAGAACCAGACCCGTGCATTGTGTTTGAGCCGAAAGTTCTTTATAGATCAGCAGTGGAAAACGTTCCTCTTAATTTTTACAAAACACCCATTGGCAAAGCAGAAATCCTTAGAGAAGGTCAGCCCTTACAATATACAATGGTATTATTGTCCCAATTTTTTTTTCTTTTCTTTTCTTTACTTTTTTATTATATTGTTTTTGTACAAAGAAGTCGTATATCTTTTCTTTACAGATTTCACTTTTATCAGTGATTCGAATTTTACAGCATTTTAACACATTTCCTTGATCTCTTTACATACAATAGAAGGTCCCCCTCAACAGTTTTCAATTTGGAATTTGATTTTATATATCTTTTTTTTTAATGTGACTCTTAGAAAGTACAGAATAATTTTTACGAATACTTTTTACTGAAATAATATTAGCAGCAGACTTCGCATTCGATAATTAATTTTAAAAAAGTAGCAAAAATAGCTTTCAAACTAAAAAAAGTAGTAAAAAAGAAGCTATCGAAAAATTAAACTTGACGATAAACAAAACTCGTTTTAGTTTAGACACTTCACAAAACTGCCAAAAAGTCAATTTTATTTTACTAACATTTTCCTAATTTTCATCAAAAGAAGTTACTTCTTTTTTATCCTGTTAATAAATTGAATAAAACGAATTTTATTATTCATAAAAGAATTTAAATATTTATAAAAATAATTTAATTCTTGCGAAAAATTTTATAAAAATTTTAAAATAATTGATTTCTTTCGACTAATTTTATGAAAATTCTAATTTAAATAATTGAATTCCTGAGAAATTTTTATTATTCATGAAAATAATTAAAATCTTACGAAGATTTATACAAAAAATTTTTTAAATAATTAAATTCTGTTTAGAAATTTTATGAAAATAGTAGATATTGAAAATCATTGAATTATGAAAAGTCTATAAAAATAATTAAATTTTACAGAGAATTCTATTAAAATTTTTGACAATAATTGAATGTCTGTGTGACATATTATTAAATTTTTTTGAAAATAATTGAATTCCTAAAAAGCATTTTATTATTTATAAAAGTAATTAAAGTCTTGGGAACGATTTTATTAGAATTTTTTAAAATAATTGAATTTCCAAGAAGAAATTTATTAATTTTAAAAATAATTGAATTCTTCTAATGAATATTGTTAGTTATGAAAATAATTGAATTTTGCATAGAATTTTATTAAAATGCCTCAAAATAATTGAATTTTCGTGAATAAATTTGTTATTCATCGACATAATTGAATTCTTTCGAAGAATTATTTTTTGTAAATAATTGAAATATTAGGAAAAATTTTATTAGAATCTAAGAGAATAATTGAATTATTGAAAAAAAATGTAATTAAAATATGTAAAAATAATTGAATTCCTGTTAAAAATTCTAATATTTTTCAAAATAATTCAACTTCTAAAAAGCATTTTATTATTTAGGAAAATAATTGAATTTTTGCGAACGATTTTATTAGAATTTTTTAAAATAATTGAATTTGTAAGAAGAAAATTCAAAAAAAATGTATTACTTTTAAAAATAATTGAATTCTTACGAAGAATATGTTATTATTTATGAAAATAATTGAATTTTTTGGGAATAATTTTGTTATTTATCGACATAATTGAATTCTTTCGAAGAATTATTTATGTAAATAATTGTATTCTTGGGAAGAATTTTATTAAAATCCAAAAGAATAATTAAATTATTTCAAAAAATTTTATTAAACTTCTATTTAAAATAATTTATTTCTTTCTAACGATTTTATTAAAATATTTGAAAATAATTGAATTCGTGTGATAAATTCTAATATTTTTGTAAATAATTGAATTCTTCCAAAGAATTTTAAAAAAACATTTTTTTAAATAATTCATTTTTTAAAGAATTGAAATTAAATTTTTAAGAATAATAATTACTGTTTTTGAGCATTTAAAGTATTAAAAATAATTGAAATCCTGCGATGAATTTTACTATTTATGAAAATAATTGAATATTTGCAAAGAATTTTCTTAAAAATTTTTAAAAATAATTGAATTCCTAAGAAGAATTTTATTATTTATGAAAATAATTGAATTATTGCGAAAAATTTTATTAAAATTTTTAAAAATAATTTAATTCTTGTGATGAATATTGTTATTTATGAAAATAATTGAATTTTGCAAAGAATTTAATTAAAATGCCTCAAAATAATTGCATTTTTTTGGAATAATTTTGTTATTTATCTTTAATAATTGAATTCTTTCGAAGAATTATTTATGTAAATAATTGTATTCTTGGGAAGAATTTTATTAAAATCCAAAAGAATAATATTAACTTATTTCAAAAAATTTAATTAAACTTCTATTTAAAATAACTGATTTCTTTCAAACAGTTTTATTAAAATATTTGAAAATAATTGATTTCGTATAAAAAATTTTAAAAATTTTGTAAATAATTGAATTCTTTCAAAGAATTAAAAAAAAAGTTTTCTAAATAATTGATTTTTTCGAGGAATTGAAATTGAATTTTTAAGAAAAATTAAATTTTACTAGCGATTCCTGTAAAATTGTATCAATAATAATTGAAATCCTTCGATGAATTTTATTATTTATGAAAATAATTGAATTGAAAGATTTTGAATTGAATTGAAAGAATTGAATTGAAAAGAATTTTCTTAAAATTTCAAAAATAATTGAATTCCTGAAATATACAATGTGAAAGCATAATAATTTGTTTTATTGTCTTTTTGGATTTTAAAAATTCTACTGCAGGCAAGGATGTAACTTTAATTGGATGGGGTACTCAGGTGCATGTTCTACAAGAAGTTGCTGATATGGCTCAAGAAAAACTTGGAGTGTCCTGTGAAGTTATAGACCTTGTTTCCATTCTCCCCTGGGACATCAGTACAGTGTGTCAGGTAATCATTTTTCTCTCGAAATTTTTTAAATAGAAAACCATTCTGGTTCTCCAAATAACGCAGTTTATTAAATTCATTGTGAATTATAGTTTGAAACCAACACTTTTTGGAAGCGGAAAAATTTAAATATTATCCAGATAACAAGGAAGCTTGCAGTAAGCTTGCAGCAAGGTTAATGTTGAATATTACCAAGCTTGTTGCAAGTTTACAACGAAAAGTTGTTACAAGCTTGAAGTTATTATTTCTTGCAATTTTTGCAATTCTTTAAAAATATTTCTTAAATTAAAAAAAAATTTGTAGATATTTTTTTATTTTAATTTTTTTTTATTCAATTAAAAGAAAAATATACTTGAAATAAATGTTAAATAAATTTTTATTTATTTAGGAGCTATTCAAATTTTTTTATTAAAAAAAAGTTTTTTAAAATCAACACAGAACAAGAAATAAGCAATAAAATTGTTGAAAAAATTAAGATATCTTTTTAATTGGATTCGGAAAAACGTTCTGATTTTAATAGACTTAAATAACGAGATTCTCCAACATTTATATCTTTCCTTCCTCAGTAATAAAATTTCTTGGAGAATTGCCCATTTCTATACCATACTCCGAAGATAACTCGTTCAATACTATTGAATACATAAGTAATTCAGTAGTTCAATTTTAAAACCTCTTAAAACCAATACAATATAAACCGTGGAAATTTAATTTATAGTTTCCAATCTAATTTTTTCTCATTGTCTCTTTTCAAAAAAAAATTTTTTTTTATTTTCATTCATAGTAAAAAATCTAGAATTAAGTTTAGAAATTAAAAAATAAAATTAAAAAAGAAAAATGTTAGTATATTTCATTTTTCAGGTCAAGATTCGGAACTATAAAAATTAGGTCGCATTAACAATCTTTGGTCACGTATCACAGGTCAATAATAAAAAATAAAAAATTAAATTTAAGGTCAATTCTCAGAGATAGAGAAAAAATAAGCATACAAATTTTTAATTTAAAAGAGGAACTATTTTACTCTAAAAAATATTATATTTAAATTACCCCCTTGTAGCATTAAGATTTAGGTCAAAATTTTGAAGGTCAAAATTCAAAAGAAATAAAAGGTACCAGTAAAATTATAGTTTAAAAAGTAAATAAGAAATTGTAAGATAAATTACGATTCCTAGGTCACAAAGAAGAGAGAACTTAAAAATTTAGGTCACTTTTCCTAGGTCACTTTAATTTAATTTCCCAGGAACTAAAATTTAATGTCAATTCTCAACAAACTAAATTCAAAAATTTTTATTTTAAAAACGTTACTCCGTTTACTCTTTAAAATTTTAGAGATAAATTTAAAATTCCCTCTTGTAGCATCAAGATTTAGGTCGAAATTTTGAAGGTCAAAATTCAAAATAAATAAATTTTACCAGTTAAATTACAGTTCAAAAAGTAAATAAAATATTGTGAGATAAATTACGTTTTCTAGGTCACAAAGAGGAGGGAACATAAAAATTTAGGTCACTTTTCAGAGGTTAATAAAATTTGACCTGAAATTTAATGTCAATTCTCAGAGTTAGAGACAAAATAAATTCAAAAATTTTTATTTTAATAATGTTACTACGTTTACTCTTTAAAATTTTAAAGATAAATTTAAAATTCCCTCTTAAAGCATCAAGATTGAGGTCAAAATTGTCAGGTCAAAATTTACACGATAATTTATAGTTTGAAAAGTAAAAAAAATAATAAAATTTAAATTACGTCAAATATAGATTTTAGAAATTTTAAAATTTTATATTTTAAATAAAAAATATTAGGGAACCTAAAAATTTAAGTCAAACTTCACAGGTCAAACTGAAAAATTTTTTATTTAAAATGTAACCTTTTATTTACTTTATAAAATTTATTCTATAATTTACATTTAAATTTACTCTATAAAATTTTATGGTTACAAAACCTCCTTGTAGCATCAAGATTTAGGTCGAAATTTTGCAGGTCAAAATTCTAAAGAAATTAAATTTACATGGAAACTTATAGTTTGAAAAATAAATAAAGAATTCGAAGTAAAATTACGTTTCGTAGGTCAAAAAGAGAAGGGAACCTAAAAATGTAGGTCACGTTTCGCAGGGCAATAAAACTTGACCTGTTTAAAGGTCAATTCTCAGAGTAAAAAAAAATAAAAAAATAAAAATAAATAAATTAATAACAAATAATAAATAATAAATAAATAATTAAATAAATAAAATTTGACCTGGGATTCAAGGTCAATTCTCAGTTACAAAAAAATTTTAAAAATGTTATTTTAAATACGTTATAGCATAAAGATTTAGGTCAAAATTTCGATGAAAATTTATAGTTTGAAAAGTAAATAAAATATTAAAATTTAAATTACGTTTCCTAGGTCAAGACTAGAAGGGAACTTGAAAATTTAGGTCAAACGTCAAAGGTCAAGAGAAAAATTTAACTTAAGAATAAATAAGTCAAGGTGTGGGTGTAACATCAAAATTTTAGTCAAAGGGAGCAATAAATAAATATTAATTATTAATTATTAATTATTAAAATAAATATTAATTTACAGGTCTAAAGGTGATTCACCTAAATTATGAATCTAAAGATGTAATACCAAAATTTAGGTCAAAATTTTAAAGTCGAGAGACCTTAAAATTACAACTTAGCTCACGTTTTTTCTAAAATACCAAAAATTTCTTTTTCTACTTATACCTTTTTATTCATAAAAATATATTATTAATAAAATTACAGAAAAAGAATTATTTTTAAAAAAAATTCCGATAAATAACAAAAAATAATTTGTTTTTACAGTCGGTGAGAAAAACTGGTCGCGTTATAATTTCTCATGAAGCGCCAATGACCTGTGGTTTTGGAAGTGAAATCGCAGCATCGATTCAAGTAAGATTAAAAAAAATATTGTTTAAAAAAACATTAATTATAAAATTAAATAATTTATTTAAACAAAATATAAAGCAGTGAAAAATGAAAATAGAAATTCTGCAAATAATTTAACACCTGGATAATTTTCCACCTTATTTAGGTCAACAAACAGAATGTTTTTTTTTTTTATTAAATTTTTCATTTTAACAATAATCAATGCTCATATATTTTTATATGTAAAAAGTCATTTATGTTTCAAAAAGATTATTTTCAACCACATGAATATTTTAATAATTACCCAACCGCCAACTACTTTTAGTACTGATAATATTAATTATACAATTCTTGTTAATCAGATTGTAAAGGAGGACAATTTTGTCATAAAATCAAAATTTATTAATAATAATTAATCGATACTCCAGTTATAAATAAAATAGAAAATTATCATTATGACTAATAATTTTCTCTTTCATAAGTTGGAAAATATTTTATTATTTATGAAAATAATTGAATTCTTGTGATGAATATTGTTTTTTATGAAGACAATTGAATTTTGCAAAGAATTTTATTAAAATGCTTCACAATAATCAAATTTTCGGAAATAATTTTGTTATTTATGTAAATAATAATTGTATTCTTGGGAAGAATTTTCTTAAAATCCAAAAGAATAATTAAATTATTTTAAAAAAATTGAATTAAAAGTGTATTTAAAATAATTAATTTCTGTCGAACAATTTAATTAAAATATTTGAAAATAATTGAATTCCTGAGAAGAATTTTATTATTCATGAAAATAATTGAATTATTACGAAAAATTTTATTAAAATGTTTAAAAAGAATTGAATTTCTGTGAAATTTTTTTTTATTTTTCAAAATAATTGAATTCTTCATAACATTTTTATAAACATTGTTTTAAATAATTAGTCTTTTCGAAATATAATAAATATTATGAAAATTTTATTTTAAATAATTGAATTCTTGTGGAAAACTTTATTTGTAAAAATAATTGAATTTTTCGATTAATTAATTTAAAATATATTATTTAAAATAATTGCAATTCTTCAATGAGTTTCATTATTTATGAAAATAATTGAATTCTTGCTTAAAATTTTATCAAAAATTTGTTTGTAAAATTGAATTTAAATGAAAAATATAATTAATTGAAAAATGAATGTAATTGAATTATTGTGAAGAATAATATATAAAAATTTCGTTAAATAATTGGTTTTTTGGAAGTTTTTCAAACATGCTATTCTAAATTAATTGAATTCCTGTCGAAATTTTAGTTTTTATGAAAATAATTCAATTGTTGCAAAGAATTTTCTTGAAATTTTCAAAAATTATTGAATTCCTAAGAAGAATTTTATTATTTATAAAAATAATTGAATTATTGCGAAAAATTTCATTAAAATGTTTAAAAAGAATTGAATTTCTGTGAAAAATTCTGTTATTTTTGAAAATAATTGAATTCTTTATAAGAATTTTATAAACATTGTTTTAAATAATTAATGTTTTCGAAATCAATTAATTTTAATTTAATTAAATTTCCATGAAGAAATTTATTACTCTTAAAAATAATTGAATTCTTGTGATAAATATTGTTATTTATGAAAAGAACTGAATTTTGTCAAGAGTTTTATTAAAATGCTTAAAAATAATTGAATTTTCGGGAATAATTTTGTTATAATTATGTAAATAATTGAACTCTTGGTAAGAATTTTATTAAAATCTAAAAGAATAATTGAATTATTTCTAAAAAATGTAATTAAAATTTTATTTAAAACAACTGATTTCTTTCAAACAATTTTATTAAAATATTTAAAAAATAATTGAATTCTTCCAAAGAATTTTTAAAAAAAACATGTTTTTAAATAATTGATTTTTTCAAGGAATTGAAATTAAATTTTTAAGAATAATTATATTTCTCGAGCAATTCCTGTAGAATTTCATTAAAAATAATTGAAATCCTGCGATAAATTTTATTATTAATGAAAATAATTGAATAGTTGCTAAGAATTTTATTAAAATGTTTTAAAAGATTTGAATGTCTGTGAAAAAATAATTGAATCGTTGATTATAATTTTTAGTGGCTGAAATCTCTTTTAAATCCAATACAGTTGGGGTTAATTTATACCCAAGGGTGCTATATAATTTATATACATTGTTTAAACAAATTATGATTAAAAAAAAAATGTTTTCCATCTAAACAGTATTTCTCAAAAATATTAGCATTCAAATGCTCTCATTGTAAATTTATTTTCACAGGAAAGATGTTTTTTGCATTTGGAAGCGCCAGTGGGTAGAGTAACCGGATGGGACACTCCATTTCCTCACGTTTTTGAGCCATTTTATATACCAAACAAGTGGCGATGTTTCTCATCAGTAAAAAAGATCGTCAACTTCTAAATAGAACATATTATATATATGTATATTGCGACTGAGGAAAAAACACGTATTTCTAAGAAAGAAGATTGAAAAATTTTTTTTTTTTCCTCTTCGGAGGCTAAACTTGTTTTCAGCAAAGTCACACACGCATATATATATATGTTTATTTACTCGTCAAATGTATATTCACTTTAATAGAAGTACAATATTTAACGAGTGGCTGGTAACGTCATTATTTCAATGTGTTGACTATATATATATAGAGATATATATATATCGTATCAAAAAAATAGAGATAAATTCCGCGATATCGATTTTTCGTACTCGCATGACTACCACCTTCGTATCACGTGGACGCGGACCGGTCCATAGCGAAGGTAGTTTTATCGTGGGACGAATGAGAGTATCTTGAAGTATTTTGCGATTGTATATGTATATATATATATATATACATATATATATAGTTAGTGTCAGTATACACATATATGCACAAATGTCGTTATATATATATAAACTACTTGCAAAATCCCTTTCTCCCTGCGCACTTTGTAAGAATGTTCTATTTCAATTTCAAAACTGAGATTTCTTCTTTGAAAATAAAAATTTGTTTTCAACCAAAAGAAAAAATATTCGCATTCCCATTTCATATTTATTACATCAACTTTGTATTTTCAATTCTAAACGATATTTTTTTTTTCTTTTTAATAAATGTGGAAGAGAAAAATTTCCACTTTTTTTTTTATATATTTGGGGAAAAAAATTTTTACCATAAAAAAAATTTTATTTGATTCATAACAGTTCAAACAACTGATTACTTGACTATATTATCGCAAATAAATATTTACTTGAATCAAATAATTTTTATTTAAATCAAATAAATTGCAATTGAAGCCCCACGTGAAACGATTTTACGGAAACTACTCTACGGAAATTCTGAATGGAATTCCGTAAAGAATTTCCTTATTGAATTTATGGAAATATTCCACATATTGTTTATTTTTGTAGAGTTTTCGATACTCCAATTGGAGTTGGTAACAGTTTTTTGTAATTTATAATATTATTTCCTTATATTATTATATTTTTTTAATTTTTAATTTTTTTTCTTTATTAATTTTACACAGAAAAAAATCCTTAGCTGATAAAAAACTGTTAAACTGTTACCAATTCCAATTGGAGTTTGTAATAGTTTTTTGTACTTTTTAATATTATTTCCTTAGGTATTATTATATTTTTTTAATTTTTTTTTTATTAATTTTACACAGAAAAAAATATTTAGCTGATAAAAAACTGTTAAACTGTCACAAACTCCAATTGGAGTTTGTAATAGTTTTTTGTACTTTTTAATATTATTTCCTTATATTATTATATTTTTTTAATTTTTCATTTTTTTTCTTTATTAATTTTACACAGAAAAAAATCCTTAGCTGATAAAAAACTGTTAAACTGTTACTAACTCCAATTAGAGTTGGTACCAGTTTTTTCGAATTTTTTAATATTATTTCCTTATTACCTATTATATTCTTTTAAAATAATTTTACAAGGAAAAAAATCCTTAGCTGATAAAAAACTGTTATCAGTTTTTTGTACTTTTTAATATTATTTCCTTATTATTATATTTAAAAAATTTTTTTTTTATTAATTTTATAGAAAAAAAAATCCTTAGCTGATAAAAAACTGTTAAACTGTTATCAACTCCAATTGGAGTTTTTTGTACTTTTAGAATGAGTAAATTTTACTAATAAATAGTAATTTCTACTAATTTATTAGTAAAATCTACTAATTAAAAAGCATAAGGTCAGTCACTAATTTAAATTATTTAGTAAACATTTTTACTAATTTAAATTTAAAGAGTAGAAAAGTACATTTTCTCTAGAGATGAAAAGTTACTATCACACCTTTGAAAAAGTAGATTTAATTTTGATTTTATTTTTTAAAATTGAATTTCAATACACAAATTAATAAATTTTCAAATTAATAAATTTATATATTTTAATAAATTTATAAATTCAAAAATTTTAAACTAGTTAAAAAAAAGTCATTTTACTCCCTAGGCACGAAAAGTCACTATTAGAATATTACAATATAAATTATTACAAGTAATATCAGATTAATATTACAATAATATTCTAACAATGTTACAATACTATTCCAAATAATATTACAATAATATTTTATTTATTAAACTGAACAATAATATTGTAATACTGACTTTTCGTCCCTAGGGAGTAAAATTACTTTTTTCAAACTTGTATTATTATTATATTATTAACTTGTATTATTATTCACAAATTTATAAAATATAAATTTATAATTTATAAATTTCTTGATATTAAATAAAAATTTAATTTTAAAAAGGGGCCGTTCAAAAAATACGTAACGCTTTTTGGGGGAGGGGGGGTCAAGCTATTTGTTACGGTCAGCAGAAAAAATGGCGCTAATGTATACAACATTGCGTTATATGGGGGAGGGGGGGGGGTCTAAATATCCGAAAAATAGCGTTACGTATTTTTTGAACGGTCCCAAAATAAAACCAAAGGAAAATATACTTTTGCAAAGGTGTAAAAATAACTTGCAGTCCCTAGGGGAAAAATGGTCTTCTTTTAACCCGAGGTAGTAAAACAACCATTTTTAAACCCAAGGGACAGAAATACTTAGGGAAAATACTAAAATTTTAAAAAACTTATGTGAAATTTAGTATAATATTATAACAAATATCAAAAATATGAATTAAATTCTAATATGACTTTACTAAATTTCACATAAGATTTTTTTTTAAATTTTAGTATTTTTTATATCAAAATTTCGCTTTGTCACACTTTTTCCCCAATTTGTAAAATCCTGCTACAAAATTTAATATAAATATTCTCTCTCCGTGTCCAAAAGAAAGTCAAAAATTTTTGAAAAATAGAAAATAAAATTAAAGTTAAAAATCTTTTTAGAAAGAAGAAAGGCGATGAAAAAGAAAAATTAGATAAATTAAAAAAAATAAAATAAAAAGCAAAAATAATATAAGAAAAGAAAGAAATAAAAAACATTTTTTATACTTTTACATTCGTATCTTATTACTTGTTTCTTTTCTATAAAAGAATGTACAATTTTTTTTCCAAACAAATAATGACTTTCTAAAGTATAGAAAAGAATAAAAAAAAAAAAAATCTTCCAACTTCCTCTCTTGTTATAAAAAAACATTTTCCCTTCCCGAAACAACCAATCACGAGCTACAATATTTCGATACATATCGATAATAATTCGAGAATCGTAAACTGATAAGGTAGGTATCTATTTTATCAAACTTTCTCTTCTATTATTATAATAAAAAATAAATAAGCAAAAAAAAAGCAAAATTTCCCCTTGTTTCCTCTAACGATCAATCAAAGTTCCATCTCCAATATTCAGTTTTTCTCAAAACAGTAATTATTTAATAAAAAAATTATTATTCAATATAAAAAAAAATACTTTTCAAAAATGACGGAAATAATTTGCAATTCAAATTGAACAGGATACAAGAATATGAACAATTATTTACAATAATAGAAATATTTTTCATCTTTACTATATAGATTTTTCAAAATGGAATTAATAAAGGGAAATTGGAGTAAAAAAAAAATTATTTTTATGCTATTTTTAGGAGCCTATTATGCAATTTCGACTGTGAATAAATTTAGGCCAAGGTCATCTATCAGCTTGGGATAAAATCAATTCAACGCAGGAATAGCTATAGAATTAAAAAAAAATATCATTTTTAGATAGATTTCGATTTCTATCAGGAAGCCAAAGAAGCAAAAAGTAACTCTCCTTGTAATGGTAGGATAATTTTTGAAAAAAATAATAAGAGAGGTGAGGGGGGGGGGAGGAATGCTTTTTTCGATTATAAGAAAACAAAAGCTTCCGTTCACTATAATAATTTTTTTTTTAAACCTCCCCTCCCCCCCCCCCTTTCAATTGCCGAAGGAAGTGCGCTCAGTTCACAGCATTTTGTAATTTGAAAGGGAAACCACATTCTTTCACTGTGTATTATGATACGTGAAAGTTGGCAACCGTGCACACACACTTAAAGGAAAACTTTAAAGAGCCAGTCGCCGTACAACCGAGAAGGTATAGACTATATCGAAGGTCGACGAGTTTTGCTTTTTATCAAACGATTTTTGCGTAAATAGTCTATTGGATCGACTCTCTCTCTAACATATGGCGAAGATGTACTTCCAGTCAATGAACTTAATTTCAATTTTAAAAAAAAGCTATCAATCTTAAACAGTGAATTCTTTTTGCCCCTCAAAAATATACGAAATTTATTGAATAATTACAAATTGCAAAAAGGGGTAGTAATTTTTGGCAATTTTTTACCCTTAATTTACCAAAACTATAACCTAAACGAAACCTAAATAATCTAAAGAAGCTAATTTACTGAAAACAATATTTTTTTTTCTCAAAAAATGAAAATATTTTTAATTTTAAGAAAAATTTACTAATTTGAATTAGTTGCTAACTTTTTGCTTTTGAATTAGTAAATTTTATTAGAAATTACTATTTATAAATATAATTTACTTATTCAAAAACAAAAAGTCCGTCACTAATTTAAATTAGTAAACATTTTTACTATAATTCAAATTTATTTTTCTTAAAAAAAAAGTTACCGAACTTTTTTTTAAGAAAAATTAATTTTTGTGAAAATTTCCTACGTAAATCTTTTTCATGAAGCTTGAAAATTAATTATTTTCTTGATATTTGAGCTTCAATTATAATATGAATAGTGTAAAAAAAACAAATAAAAAATGTATTCTGACCAAGTTTATAAAAAAAAAAAAAATGATCTGTTACATTTATTAACGAATTTCTTTAATATTGTAAAATTATTCGAATACATGAATAGTATTATTTAAAATAAATATTTAATCATTATTATATTTTTTCCGTAGGAATTAAAATTCTTCGAAACATTCAAAATTCGTCCCTTTTTGAATTTCAATAACTTCTAAGAATATTATTGTAAAACATGAAGATATTAATTATTATTTTCTAAAATTTTTAACTATAATTCTTCTTTAAACAATTATTTTTAATAATTTTTTAAAAAGTTCTTTGAAAATTTTCAAATTCATTTGTTTACGATTCAATTTTACGAAATTTCGACAATTCGCTAAATTCTTCAATTAAATATATATATATTAGAAAATAAAAAATTTTAATAATAATTAATATTATTAGAAAATTCTACAAGAATTCAATTATTTAAATACAAAAATAAATAATTTATTGAACAGTTAAATGTTTTTTAAAAATTGAATTCGTATAAAGAATTTTATCAAACAAATTTTTAAATAATTGAATTCTTTAGACGAATTTGAATAAAACTGAAAAAAATAATTACATTTTTTGAGGAATTCGATTAAAATTGCATTAAAAATTATTGAAATTCCGCGATGAGTTTTATTATTTATGAAAATAATTGAAATATTGCAAGGAAATTTATAAAAAACAATTGTCAAATATTTAAATTCCTGTTAAATTTTTATTATTTATGAAAATAATTAAATGTTTGGCATAGAATTTTAAAAAAATTTTTGAAAATAATTGAATTTCGGAGAAGAATTTTATTACTTTG